GTCCACCACGGATATCTCATGAACAAATAAAATTAGATATGTTTTTAACAATAATATTAATAACAGAAGGCAAAAAATGTATAAATGTATAACCAGCCATCAAATTTATTCTTATGACATTGCTATCAGAAGATAAGCAGCACTTGAGTGGGATAAAAAGGACCAGCTGAACCTTTACTTTGGCTAAGATGTAAGCAATAAAACAGTAAAGTTTTAAAAAAAGCAATTTTATGAGAGATTAATTAAATAAATTGTTATTCCTGATCAATAGCAGAACAATGTAATATATTGTGTTATCTTTGTAACAAATATACCCATAAAATTAATATTTTTCATTGGTTCAATAATGTAGCGTTAAATCCTTTTAAAATTTAATAGCTGAAATTGCATCTGTTTGCCCCCTGGTTGTCCCACTTTACCCGTAAAAAATAATATTTATATAATTAGGAATTATATAAAAAAAATTCTAAACATAGTTCGATAGATGCTTGTTTGATGTGTGTTATGTGCTGCAACGTCGTTCATTGGGTATAGACAGTATAATTACTGAAAGTCAAATTGAACCTTTGTGCCCTGCCTACCCTATGACAATTTTATTTTATATTAAATTTTAATGTGTCATTTTTATTTTTGATTAAAATGCATGTATATGCCTTTCTTTTAAGTTACTAAAAAATGTAACATATTTACATGTTAAAATAGTTTTTCTTCAGTATGCTTAGTATGACGACCGGTTAGTATGACGAGATTTCGGCGAACCTTCGATGTCATACTAAGCGGACTCTACTGTATATAATTTATAATTTATCATTATATAAATGTGTATAATGGTCGGCACTAATAAATGTATGCATCACGAGTCTTACCGTATTACTAATAAACATATTAATCAAAATTGTTATATGATGTATTTATTTTTACTTAAATGCCATCTTGCAAGTAGCAAATAAGTTTTACTTCAATCGCGTGTGAACCTTACGCGCACTCTTTTTTTATTATTTTATTACCTGTACTGTAGAACAGTGTCCAGCCTTAACCATTGCAAACAGATCATCCAATAGTCCCAATCTGTCCAAAGGTGGTAAAGCACCACTTCTGATCGCAGGTTCCAATTGCCTCAACATTTCCGGTGTGTATTTAACCCGGTAGTATCCCACGGTTCCTGAATTGATTTTGACCCATTCGCCTTCGGCTGTATTGGGAATTGTCAGGGTCGTCGAAGGAGTATCCAGCATTGTTGACAAAGCCACCTGGGAAAAGAAAAGGATGAATGATGAATAGAACTAGTGGGGTGCATGACATCGTGCCTTGAGGCAAATTGCTGGAACTTCCCGTACCGTAATTAAACATTCAAGGAATGAAAATAATCAATAATTGTTTTAAATAACTTCAAATAGATTATTTGTTATAAACACACATGAGGTAAACTTAAGTGCTAATTAAATTGGGCGACGAGCCCAAGTGTATGTTTACAAGAAATTGTTCAATTTTTCTTTAAATTTGATTTTTTGTTAATTTAGAATTTATTCAAAATTTGAAAAAAATTTTAAAAGTCCCATTTTTAACTTCCCGTAGGGTAAGTTATAGTAATCGCAAAAAAATCGAAAATGAAAATTTTTATATATCTTTACGTTTCAGAGGTTTCTGAATATTTTGGCATACCTTAGAAAAAATGGATGTGAGTGTGTGTATGTGTGTGTGTGCGTGTGTGTGTGTGCGTGTGTGTGTGTGCGTGTGTGTGTGTGCGTGTGTGTGTGTGTGTGTGCGTGCGTGTGTGTGCGGATACAAATTTTCGTCGACGATTTCGGGAACACGGATGAAGCAATTTGAATAATTTAAAAAACATTCGATTCGTATTGATAAGGAGACGTGCTGATTAGTTTTTGGCGAAGGCAGGTCTAGCCGTTCCGAAGATACGGGGCAAAAAGTGCCGAAAACGGTACCTCAGTTTTTAAGAGAACGGAGCGTCCGATTTTAATAATTCAAAAAACATTTTACTTGTATTGACAAAATGAAGAATTGATTAAATTTTCATAAGGGCAGGTCTAGCGGTTTCGGAGATCTAACGAAAAAAGCAAAAAAAAAAGACATTTGACGGTCAAAAATGATCATTAGACATATGCACATCAAATTATCAGATATTTTATAGAAATTTTAACAATAAGTATAAATTTTGTTTACATTCCTATGGGTTCCGTACCAATGTTTACCCGTTAGACAGCGACGCGGCGCTTACGCGCTTTATATTTTGTCTCTATGCAGTTAAAGCAGTACGGTTGCTTTGAAAAAAAGTTCAGATCTTCCAAAATACGTCAAAATATAGAAAACATTTTTTTTTTAAAAAAAAAAAAAAATTTCAATTTTTTAATTTTTTTTTTTTCAAACAAAAATTTTTTTGTCCAATTTATAGTTTTTCAAAGATCTTATTTTTCGAAGTATTTTTTTTTTCAAAACGTTAATAGTTTTTAAAAAAATAATAATTTTTGGTACGGAAAGTTCCAGCAATTTGCCTTAAGGCACGATGCCCTAATTGCCTTAAGACAGAATTCCACTTACAGCTAGTTTACAATTTTTTGATAATTTGGAAATTTTTAAAAATATTCGATTTTTTTTAAATTTTGAAGTAATTTTAAATTTTTGAAAAAAATTTATTTTTTTTTTTATTTTTGATATTTTTTAAATGATTCAAAATTTAGTTTTTTTTTTAATGATGAAAAATTTCATAAATCAAATCTTCTGAAAATTTTGAATTCTTATTTGAAAGTTCTCAAAATTAAGAAATTTTTTGTAAAAGCATTTTGTGCAGTCTTACAAAAATTTTCATTTTCAATTTCTTTGAAATTACTATAACTTACCCTATGGTAAGTCAATTATATAAATTTAAACCTTTGTATCTGTAAGTGCTAAATCTTTACCTGTTTAGGATTTTTTGAGGTAGATACAGTGATGGGAACCATCCATTGGGTATTCTTATCGTCCTTTCTGCCATCAGCACAGAATTTTTCTTGTGTCAATGTCAAAACACGGTTGAAACCTTCCTGTTTAGCTGTAACCGACACCATTGGGAAGCCAACTTGCTGCGTCCATGTAGACATCACAGCACCTGAAAAAATAAGGAACAAAAAACCATTTATTAAAACCATCTAAAAAATGTGTGACATTGATAAAAAAATTGTTTTGTATTGATTGTTCCAGTTTCTGTATTTAGGCGCAAGGACAAGTAGTACATTAACCATAAACAGCCTCATACTACATTCTACTTGTTTCAATTTAGTAATAGTCAAGTCATTTAAGTTTAAAGTAGGTAAGAATCTCGGAATTCGAGATAACCAGCTCTAAGTCTATAAATACTTGTATATTGAAACCCTAAAGTTGTCTCAAAACTACATATGAAAGGATGTCAATACCACATGTAGGTTTTGAGACAACTTTAGGATGTCAATGTACAAGAATTTACAGATTTACAGCTGGGTATCTCAAACTCCTAGGTAAACTTACTATGATGACTGAACTATAACAAATATTCTGGTTTTTCCAATTCATTTGTATCATCCTCCACTTACCAATTGGTTTCCCACTGGCTTGTTCCAAAGCAGTCCACAAATCTTTCGTAAATGTGTTCTTGTACTGATTCTTGGTCAAATAAATATTCATGCCCTTTCTGAAATCTTCATCACCCATATAGTTGTGCAGCATTCTAATTACGGAAGCGCCTTTGCTGTAGGAGATCTCGTCGAAGATCTCATCAACTTCTGATGGATGACCGACAGGCACCTGGGTAAAAAATAATAGAATTTTAATTCCGAAACATTAAAATTGTAAATGTAATCGAAAATAAGTTAACTATTATTATATGAATATTATTTATTATGGTAAATTTACCTCGATTGCATGTGAGCTGGCAAGAGAATCCAAATCAAGTGCAGAGATCAATGTTTCAGTAACAAATTGCGTCCAGATATCATAATCAGGAAAGATGTGGTTGACACATAAGAATTCCACAAATGATGCATAACCTAAAAAATAATTATGATTACAAATATTTATGAAGTTCATATTAAACCAATACTAACTTTGTATAACATTTTCTATTATTAAAATGATTTGAGGGTTAAGATATACAATTTAATATAAAAAACTAGCTGTAAGTGGAATTCTGTCAGCAATTCAGGCATCGTGCCTTGAGGCAAAATACTGGAAATTCCCGTACCGTAACGAAATGTTTTAAAATAGATTATTATAAATATTGTAACATTGTCTAATATTTATAAGAATTATATAAACTGAATTGCAAAGTTAAAATCACTTGCTTAAAGTATATTAGAACTTTAGTCAGAATTAAAAATAAAATCTGAATTATTTTCGATATACAAAAAATTAAAAAAAAAAAAAAAAATTGAAACGAAATTTTTTTTTCCAAAATCAATTATTTTGTTAAGACGAGCAGAAAGTTCTTCGAATCATTCAAATCGGACGCTTAGTTCTCTCAAAAACTGCTATTTTTTTTAACATTTAGCTCCGTATCTTCGAAATGGCTGAGCCTTCCTTTGCCAAAAACTAATAAACACTTCTCCCAATCATTACTAATTGAATGTGTTTTAGATTATTCAAAGCGGATACTCCGTTCTCTCAAAAAGTCGATTTCTATTTTCTGCACTCTTTGCTCAGTTTCCTTGAAATGGCTGGACCTGCCTTTGCCAAAAACTAATCAGCTCTTCTCCCTATCGATAGGAATCGAATGTTTTTTGAACCATTCAAATCGGTTGATCCGTGCGCCCGAAAACGTGACTGGAAATTTGTATCCATACATACATACACACACACACATCCATTTTTTCTGAGGTATGCCAAATGTTCAGAAACCTTCAAAACGTCGGGAAATATAAAAAATTTCAATTCCGATTTTCGGCCCATTACAATAACTTACCCTACGGGAAGTTAACAAGTATAAATTTTTAATTGAATTATTCTAATTGGACGCTCCGTTCTTTCAAAACCTGAATTTCAATTTTTCGTACTTTTGCCCCGTATCTCCGAAACGGTTAGACCTGCGTTTGCCAAAAACTAATCGGCACGACTCCTTATCAATACGATTCGAATGTTTTTTGAATCATTCAAATAGGTTGATCCGTGCTCCCGAAATTGTCGACGAAAAATTGTATCCGCACATACATCCCACTTCACACACACAATTTTTTCTAAAGTAGTTAATATAATATATTAAAAACTAGTGGTGCATGGCATCGTGCCTTAAGGCTGGAACTTCCCATACTTAAACTTCCCATTTTAAAAAAGATTAAAAATTTATTTTATAACTTTGAAAAAAAAAAATGGATTTTTGAGAACTTTGAAATTTTTGAAAATAATTGACTATTGGAAAAAAAACGATTTTTTTAAATATCCTGAAATATTTCGGAAATTTTGAACTTTTTTTTTCAAAGCAATCGCGCTGCTTTATATGCCTAGAGACAAGATATCGAAACGCGTAAGCGCTGCGTCGCAGACAAACATATAAACAATGTTACAAAACTTACAGAAATGTAAATGGTATTATACGAGGCCGGTATTGAGTTCGACATACCCAGACAAAAGACCTGGTTGTTCGCTATACCAAAAAAAAAAAAAAAACAATGCTCATACATACATTCATTATTTCTAAGATATACAAAAAATTTCAATTCCGAATTTTGGAGAATTACTATAACTTACCCTATAAAAAGTTAAAAAATATAAATCTGTATCTTTTTACTATTTACCTTCATTTAGCCACAAATCAGACCACCACTCCATGGTAACCAGACTGGGTACCAAACCATTGGTGAGCAATTTCATGACCGACCGTCAGAGCAACCCACTGTTTGGTTTGTGCAGATGAATTTTGGGATCAATCAAAATTGCGTCTCTATATATTGTACAAGACCCCAATTCTCCATAGCACCAGCCGAAAAGTCAGCAATGGCCAATTAGATCGATTTGGGAAGTGTAGGGGGTAAGCAATTTGGAAGTAGTCTTTGTAGTAGGGGAGGACTTTGGTTGCACTTCTAGAGCATATCGACCTAAGGGGGGGAATAGAACACATAATATAATAGGACTAACATATCATATATAAATTTCTTCTGTAATGATGTATGTAAATATACTCCCCTAAACGATTATTCGGATTTGATAAATCTTCTGAAGTTTTGTAAGGGAAATTTAGTAGAATATAGTAGAAATAAATGAAAAAAATTGCAAAAAACGCCATGTTATTGTTTGACATTGAAAATATTTGAGGCATTGTTTGCATTGAAAACAAATGAAAACTATCATCTGCCAAAAAATTCCATTTACTTATGAGCCTAGACAATATTAAAATATGTATAATATATTCATTATTATGAATAAGAAAAATGTAATGCCTACATTATTATTGCCGAAAAGTAGCTGAGATGTGCCAAAAATCAAAATAATATAAAATACAGTATATGTATGGCAGATTGAATTAATTCACTTATAGTGTGGGTATTAAGACTCATCATTATACGATACACGTATATATATATATATATATATATATATATATATATATATTAGGGTGGTCCTTAAAATGGTCATTTTCAAATTTCCTTGCTCCCAGGGGCTCAAATGGTTCCAAATTGATAAAAAACAATTCTCTGAAAGTTTTAGCTTCTAATATTAACGTTTAGATAGAGCGCAATGCAATCAAAGTTTTGTATGGAAATAGCATGGAAAAACTTTCAAAAATTTTAAAAATGTTTTTTAGATGTAATTTAGCGAACAAATGAATGAATAAAACTCATTCATTTGTCGTTAAGTTATACCTTAAACATTTTTTTTAAATTTTCAAAAAAATTTCCATGCTCTTTCCATACAAACTTTGATTGAATTGCGCTCTATCTAAATGTTAATATTAAGAGCTAAAACTTTCAGAGAATTGTTTTTTATATATTTGGAACCATTTGAGCCCCTGGGAGCAAGGAATATCGAAAATGACCATTTTAAGGACCACCCTAATATATATATATATATATATATATATTTTGTAGAGTTTCGAACAAGAATCCAAAAACAATACAAAATAAAAAACAAGAAAAGTTTTTAAAAAAACAATTTCTTTATTTAATTATTTGTTTATTGTCGACGTTTCGGAACTAGGTACGTTCCATCTTCAGGACATCTGTCAAGAAACATGATCTTGATGAGATTTTGGCAAACAATATGTTTAGGAAAAGAAAATAGATTTTTCTTAAATAATGAATTAATTGCAAAAAAATATAATAATGTACAGAAATATGATAATATGTTCAAAATGAAAATGATAAAAATGATAAAAATAAATGAGTGGATTATCAGAACAGGATATTAAACATAATAGAAAATTTTTTTGAAAGTTATGGAAATTTTTTTAAGAAAAGGTTAATGACAAAGTTGAATTAATTACCTGTATGTTTGAATATTTGTTAGCACTTTTTCACTAAACAAGCTTTTTTTAACAAAAATGAATTTGTGAGTTAATTTTCCGCCGAATAATTAGATTTTGTAAATCAAAATTACTAAAAGATTTGTCTTTTTTAAAATTATTATTTGAAAACACAAATAATATTGTTCTCTGGATGTTGTTCGATTGGCTTTTGAAAATTAACTAATTTGAAACTGGTGTGTCCTTTGTAACACGTGTAAACACTTGAACGAGAGATGTGAGATTGTTCCTACCTAGTTCCGAAACGTCGACAATAAACAAATAATTAAATAAAGAAATTGTTTTTTTAAAAACTTTTCTTGTTTTTTATTTTGTATTGTTTTTGGATTCTTGTTCGAAACTCTACAAAATATACACAAATCCAAGACTCTACCATTCAATATATATATATATATATATACACATATATAATTAAATTTTTTATCCATTACCTTGTTCCTGTTTACCAACAGGCGTATAAACTCTGACCAAAACACCGTCTTCAGATGTATCTTCAATGTAATCGTACTCTCCAACAACTACAGCGACCAGATATGTGGACATGACAGGTGTTGTGTTGAATTGTACAACCCGGTGATCACCTTCTACTTTCTCGTTCTTCACCGTCATGTTGGACAAAGCCACAAGACTCTTTGGCACTGTCAGAGTTATGTCAAAGGTTGCTTTGTGAGCTGGCTCGTCCCAACAGGGGAAACACCTAGAAGATAATTGCAATATAAATTTAATATCTTATATATAAAAATCTACTGTACGGGTGTATGATTTGATACTTCTCCTAAACGGTTATTCGGATTTTGATAAGTATTTTTTAGATTTTGTCAAAGAAAATTTTTAAGATTTAATGAACTATATAACTATAGTTAGATTGTAGAAATAAATGGCAAAAGTTACAAAAAACCACTTATCATTGTTTGACATTAAAAAATATTTGATCTGCTAGAAATGTCGATTCACGTAAAATTTGAATTTAGCTGAAATTATGAGCCTAAATAATATTAGAATATAATATACAAGAAAAATGCAATGTCTACATTATTATTGCTGAAAAGCAGCTGAGATGTGCCAGAAATTAAAATAACATAAGATACAGTCAACAGTATATGATGTTTGGCAGATGAAATTATATAATTCAGTCCAAAATTGCATATACATTATTTTTTTAAACTTATGCATGTCACATTTTGGATTACTTTAACTCTGAATGAATTACATTCAAACTATATACATTTCACCATCAACTTTTTTTCTTAATTTTTTTTTATAAGGATAATGATAATTTAATTTAATAATGATTTATTTTATGAGGATAATAATAATTTTTTCAAATAATAATTTTTGCTTGTCTATTTTTAATACTACATTTTTTTCCTTTTTAGTAAAAGTTGCATAATTTATCTCTCTATAAGTTTTTTAATATTTTGTCAACAACGTCATGATAGAAAAACATGATCCTGAGAAAAAACGTATCTGGTTCCGAAAAGTCGTTATTAATCAAATTAGAAAATAATCTATATGGAAAAAAAAAATAAATTAAGTCATTAAAAATGATATATATATATATATCTTATATATAAGATTCTCTTGTACGGGTGTATGATTTGATACTTCTCCTGAATGATTATTCCGATTTTTATAATCCTTTTTAGAGTTTGTCAAAGAAAATTTTTAAGATTTAATAAACGATAAAACCATAGTAATATTGTAGAATTAAATGGAAAATTACAAAAAAGCACTTATCATTACTTGACATTGAGAACATTTGAACTGTCATCTGCTAGAAATGCCAATTCATTTGTAATTTGAATTTAGCTGAAATTATGAGCCTGGATAATATTAGAATATAATATACAAGAAAAATGTAATGTCTGCATTATTATTGCCAAAAAGCAGCTGAGATTTGCCAGAAATTAAAATAATATAAGATACAGTCAACAGTATATGTTTGACAGATGAAATTATATAATTCAGTTTAATAAATAATGCAACAAGCCCAAAATTGCATATACATTATTTTCTTAAACTTATGTACGTGGCATTTTGGTTTACTTTACTAAATTATTTAGCAATCCAAAAAATATTTCTACTTATTAAAAAATGCTTTAAATTTTGTTTCATGTGTTAAAAATTCATTTGTTTTGACATTGGATATAGAATATTTAGCGAGTTGATCTTAGATTGAATAGTGCACGTATGAACTAGATTTTACAAATTAATTCACCAAAGATTTGAACATAAACAATAGTGTTTATTAAATTATTAGTGAGAAAAATGTACTTTAGAAATTATAATTGCCAAAAAGCAACTAATATATCGTACGAAATTATGAAAATATAGACTAAATTATTGAAGCAATTATGTTGTGTGGTAAAATAAAATCAAGTGTGGTATTGTTCTTTTATTGCAGATACTATATTATTTTTTTCTGAATTTCTTATAGTGTTTATGTTAAGGCCATAAATGAATCACAAAGGCAGGACATCCTGCCCTTGTTACCCTTATTACCTTCTTGCGTCAGTAGCCTCAAACTGTGTAACAGCAGCATAACTTGTCTGTCCATCCTTTCCAGCATATTTACTCCTATAGAATCCTCTTAGTTTATCATTCAATTCACCGGTGAATTCAATGTTCAAGGTGGCTTTTCCAGTAGATAAAACATCAGGAAATGTGAAGGTGGCAGTTTCATCTTCAACAACGTAACTGATTTTGGGCACTACTGTTTTTCCATTCTCCAAAACCAGCTCTGCTGTTTTCAAATCAAGCTCGGCACTGTTTAGCTTAATCGAGTTTGTAGTAGAAGCAACCTAGATAAAGGATAATGTTAATAATAATTTAATATAAATATATAAGAAAATGAATTTTCTCTATAATTTTATTTCTTTACTTAGTTAATAATGTAATTTTAAAATTATTACAGATAGAAAAATGCATCTATTGATTTTTTTTTATCAAATTGATTTTATAATTTGCCAATTTCCTTTTATGATAAAAAATATTCAATAATTTTTTTAAATATGTTATTTTGATTACAATGTTACAAAGCTGGTCAATTGTTGTGTTACAAAAATAGAAATTATCATAAGTGCAAACAATTTCAAAGTAAACAAGATAAGAATTATCTTGAATTGGATTGTGAGTTATCTAACAAATGAATTTCACAGAAATGACAATGAATTTTAAATTATATATATATATATATATATATATATATATATATCATATATATAAAATTCTTCTGTAATAATGTATGAAAGAATAGTTCTCCTAAACTATCATTCGGATTTTAATAAATCTTTTTGAAGTTTGTTCAAGGATTTGTAAAAAATTACAAAAAAACGGTTATCATTGTTTAACTTTGAAAATAATTGAGGCATTGCTTGGCATTAAAAACAAATGAAGACTGTCATCTACCAAACATTTCAATTCACTTATATGGCTAAGACAATATTAAAATATAATAAATTTATGATTATGAATAAGAAAAATGTAATGTCTACATTATTATTGCCGAAAAGCAGCTGAAATGTGCCAAAAATTAAAATAATAAAAGATACAGTATATATGTTTAGCAGATGCATGTTTTGTTTGGATACGGAATATTTACTCAAGTCAATGGAGCATTTTGGGTCTGAATTTTTTTTACCGTGCTCCAATTTGCATGAAATTTTGGAATTAGGCTCATCTTACTCTCAAGTTAAGAAGTGAAAATAATTTAGACTCCTTTGTTACTTCCCGGGGGGATGACATCGCTTCTCAGTGGTGTAATTTTATTTTTTTCAAAATAACGTCGGATATGGATAAAAAAAACTAATGAGAAAAATGTTTTATAATGTTTTTCAAAGAAGCAAATACTGTTCAAGTTACTGGCTACTAAAAATTCGTTTCTTTTTGGCGTTTTTCATCGTTTTTTGCAAATATCTCCAAAAATACACATTTTAACGAAAATCATGTAATGAACAAAATTATATCAATTAATAAAATCATAATAAATCGGTGTTTTATAAAGTGTCCTGGGAACAATATTAAGCTAGATATGAAAAAGCGTTTTATATTTTGTTCGAGATTTAATTGTTGTATTCAAAGCCATCTAGCGACTAGGTGTTACATTTTAAATATTCCATGGGGTTTTATAGTGCTCAAAATAAGCTATAAAATGTGTAATGTTAAGAGTATGTTTTTTAAATTCAAATCAGATAGTTTTATAAGTGCCATTTCCACCAAAATTACAATTAATCGTATTTCATCTACAATTAAGTTGGTTCAAGAGATTCCAAAATATAATGCAAATAAGTAATAATGTATATCGAATTATTATTAAAAAAAAATGTAATGTAGATATTATCACTGAAAACAGTTAATATATAGTACGAGATTATAAAAATTATGGACAACATTATTGAAGCAATTATTTTGAGTGAAAAAATCCAAGGTGATATTGTACCTTTACATCGGATACTATATATTAATTCTTTCTGAATTCATTATACTGTTTAAAAGACTGCAATTTCCAGTACGTACATCTTATGCTGTAAATAACAAAGGCAGACAATGAATTTTTTTGTGATAAATTTGGAAAATCAATGTTTTAGTCGTGAATAAACAAAAAATCATTTATTTATACATCTACATCTACACACGTATGACTAAAAATATTGTATAACCCTTGGCAATAAAATAAATTGAGCTATTGGAAATAAATTTGTTCTATAAATTGTAGTGCATATTTCTAATATACTATATCATTGAATATATTTCAATATTTGTTTGTTTGCCGGTCTTACATGGCTGACTTGAATTTCACAGTATAATTAAAGAGTTAAGCACCCATATACATTTCGGTAAAGATTGAAGTGTAAAAAACATAATAATTTTTAACTAATTGGTAAATATCAGTGTACGTTATTAAAGAAGATTGGAACTTTTAAATTGTAGACATGGGTACAGAACAACGCCTGTCGGGTTATCTAGTATTAATATAGAATTAATTTATTTTGGTTAGGAATATACTTCGACAAAAACATATCCTGAAACAACATTTAGTATTATAAATTATGGTTTACTTAAGAATAAATATATAAAAATATCACTTATTACACAGCTATCAAAATCTAAATATATACATATATTAAAATTGAAAATTGTGCAATATTATCCCATAAAAATCATTTTCCTTCCAAAACAATACAAACAGCAAGTCACCTACATATAAACCAAATTGAGGTTATGTCACCCCAAAATCAATCACATTCACCAGAACATTTCCTGCACAAACATAGATCACCAGTTCACACAAAAACTAAAAAAAAACAGTAGCACAATCATTTTACCCCCTTACCTCTAAATCGATCTTGGTCTTTCCCGTAAAAGTGAAGGCTTTCAAGTCGGGCTTCAATTCCAGATAATAATGTTTCGGCAGCACCGTTTTCGGCAAACGTTCGAAGGCTTTCTTCTCCGGCATCTTGACTTTTTCCAATTGCCTAAGACAACTCGAACTGCTCAAATAATTAATGTGTCTAACAATGCCGAGATGATTATTGGAATATGACCGAATAACAGTATCTGTATCAAACACACTACTGACACGTATTTTGATAACGGACTCGGAATTTAATAACTTGCGAATTGTGTCAACATAACGGGACCGGCAGGGTAATGAAGATAAAGGACACTTTGGGGGTTGAAATGGACGTGTTTTTAACCTGGTTAATGGTAAAGGGGCTCTGAAAGGACGCAGGATGAGGAAAGACATCAGGGTTTGAAATAATGATGTTAGATAATTATGTTTGACACAAGTGTAATGTTACGCCGGTTGACGATGCACTTTCACTATCGTTCGAGACTAGATCGTGGACTATGTAAGAGTTGAAGATACATTTTTGGTAAAAAAAGTTTGAATTGAATTTTATTTGACTTTTGGTCGTATTTTGTTTTGAAATGCACAAATTTACTTCAATCATCAATTCTTGTGTGATAATTATCAGATTTTTGTACAAAAATAGTTTTACAAACTTGATACTTGTTTTTTGACAATTTTCAAAAAAATCTTACAATGAGAACATTTGGACTTTTTTTGATTATTACTTAAAAGTTATTAAATATTTATCATACTTTCTATACTTAAAACAAAAAATATACAAAATTGTAACATATAGACTTAATTTGATAATATAATGTAATGATTATGTAAGATTTACCACATATTTCATATATACAATTGAAGCTATACACAAGTAGAACATCTAGAATTAATTTAATGATAAAATGTAAAATTTGTATAAAACTTACCATATTTTTCGTACTTAAAACTAAAAATATACAAAAGTGAAACATCTACAGTTAATTGGAAGATACAGTGTAAAGATTGTATGAAATTTATCACATTTTTCATATTAAAAACTGAAAATATACAAAAGTCGAATATCTAGAATTAATTTGATGATACAATGTAACGATTATATCAAATTTACCACATTTTTCATATTTAAAACTGAAAATATACAAAAGTGAATCATCAAGAGCTAATTTGCTAATACAACGTAAAGACAATAAAACTGAAAATACAAAGACTAAAACATCTAGAGTTAATTTGATGATATAGTGTAAAGATTGTATGAAATTTACCATACCTAAAATCAAAAGATTATAAAAAAGAAACATCTAGAGTTAAATTGATGATACAATGTGAAGATTGTATAAAATTTACCATATTTTCATATTAAAAAATGAAAATATACAAAAATGTAACATCCAGAGTTAATTTGATGATACAATATGAAGATTGTATAAAATTTAGCACATTTTCCATATTTAAAACTGAAAAATTAAAAAAAAACACATCTAGAGTTAAATTGATGATATAATATGTAGATTGTATAAAATTTACTATATTTTTTCATATTATATTCTTTTTTTGATACTGAGTATGTAAGTATACTCCTCCTAAACGATTATTCCGATTTTGATAAATCTTTTGAAAGTTTAAGATAATTTTCAAGAATGTATGTGCTTATAAAAATATAGTAATATTGTAGAAATAAATAGAAAAAATGCAAAAACAACATATCATTGTCTGACATTGAAAACATTTTGATACATGAGAACTATATTTTTGCCAAATCTGCCAAAAATGTCGATTTACTTAAATTTTTAATTTAGTTTAAGCGAGCCTAGACAATATCAGTATACAATATCCATATTCATGATTATGAATAAGAAAAATGTAATATCTACAATATTATTGCCGAAAACCAGCTAAGATGAGCCAGAAATTAAAACAATATAAGATACAAAATATGTTTGGCAGATAAAATTATATAATTTAGTTAAATAAATAACACAATACGTCCGAAATTGCATATACATTATTTTTCTAAACTTATTCTAAACTTATACAGGTTGTATTTTGCTTTACTAAATTATTTAAATACAAAATAATATTTCTACTTATTGAAAAAATAATATATTATTATTATTTCAGAATTTTGTTTTATGTGTCATTTCATTTTACAAAACTTCATTTGATTCTCCATGATCTCAGATAGAACAGTGCCATATAAACTTGATTTTACCAGTTAATTCACCTAATATTTTAACTAAAGTAATAATGTTCATTAAATTATTAGTAAGAAATTGTAATTGCCAAAAAATAACTAATATAGGGTACTCGATTATAAAAATTATAGACTATAGTCTATAATTTTTATAATCGAGTACCCTATATTAGTTACTTTTATTTATTGAAGCAATTATATTGATTGGAAGTAACAAAGGTGACATAGTTCTGTTACCGTAGATACTATATTTATTCTTTCTGAATTTCTTATACTGATCAAAAAACTGTAGTTTCCAATGCGTATATAGCTTATGCTAAGACCATAAATGGAAGAACATCAAATAGGATATTAAAAAGTATAGGATACGACATTAAAAAATTTGGAATTTAAATTGTAGACGTGGGTATAGGCAGATAGATAAATAAACATAAGTACAGGACAAAGTCTGGCGGGTCACGTAGTATATATATTATTATTATCCCGTTTCCGCTACATGGTCAATGATTACGCAATTTTCGACATTCCCCACGAATTCGTTTCCGCACGTTGCCCGCCTGCTCTTACACTCGCAACTTCACTCGAAACTGAATCGAGCAGTGGCACATTTGACGTTCCTGACGTTTCTTGTCATTGTTGTTTGAAATTTCTTTCTTAATTTACACATTTGCACAATCCCTCTTACAAATTTCCAAATCAATCAAACAAATTATGTGTAACTCTATTTCATACTTCACCCATAAATAAAAGAATAGATTTAAAATATAAATTAAAAGTGTTGTTGTAGTTGTAAGACATAAAAATGCCAATATGTGATCTGTCTATTCTTCGTATTTACACGTGACAATGTGTATGTTATCTTAAATTAATGTAAATTGGACTTAATTTGCTATATGCAATAACACCTTATCGATGCGTGCTTTATAAGTGTGTATAATATTCTTCAAGTTAAATGGTTCAAATAGAAAACGACCATGGCTAGTCTGGCACAAGAGGAGTACGAATTGATGAAAGACTCCAAATACAGGGTCTATGTAACTGCAGTGGATAAAGTTCTTAAGAATTTCGAATATACAAGTGAATGGGCGGATTTGATATCAGCACTGGGGAAATTGAATAAGGTTTGTTGTTTGTGTTTATTTATTTTGCAAGGGATTAGTAGGGTAATTGTATATTAGTCATGCACTATCTCTACTTCTACATATTTGTATTGACATAATGATATCTGCTTATAATCTTCTAGATAAGATATTTGAAAAGTATCGTTTCCTGTAAAAGTATCATCGGGCTGTATTTCAATATCATAAGTGAAATACTAGAATTTTCTTTAAGTGGGTATTACACACTTTTGAGTTTTGTAATGTATCGATAATGATACATGTACAATTTCCTTTCTTCAAATTGTAACTAGTATATCAATTTTTCTAACTTTGATATCTATAACACAATATAACCAACTCATAACTCAATAAGTTTGTAGTATTATTTATATGTGGATATTGAAATTTTGAATAATTTGTAGGTGAAATCCAGACTTTATTATTAATTTTAGTAAATATACGTTATGGAAATTGTAAATTTTGCATTTCAACTATGAATTATTCAAATGTTTAATATCCAACTATAAATAAACCTACAGACTTTTTGAATGATATGTTTTTAACATTATAAATTATACATCGAGAATCATAAATTATATCTTTCAAAAGCATCTCTTATCAAAATTATGGAAATTGATGTTTTAAACAAATAATTTACTAATAATATAAATATGTAATCTAGAGATTTTTGCAGTCAAATTCTGTTACATATAAATACAACCATTTTATTGGACTTTTAAACTATGATATGTCCAGAATTCATAAATATTTTTACTGAAAATACTTATTTGTGTCTTAAGTGTTTCGAAGACATTACTATAATGTATCGATAAAACGCACTATCTTCTTTAAACTAAAATCTGTGTAATACATTTTTCTGAGTGTAATATTTATAATATATATATATATATATATATATATATATATATATGACAGAATTATAAATATTGTCCTTCAAAAGTATCTCTAACCAGAATTATGAAAATTCATGTTTTAGAAAAACAATTCACTATTGATAACTAAATTGCATCACATAAAACTATAGCTATTTTACTGGAATTTTAAACGATATATGTCCAAAATTCATTAATATTGATGATTGAGTATAAGTTTTTAATAAAACACACTTATTTGTTTCTTTAGATATCCGAATACATTTTGATGATGTATCGATAACATGCACTAATTTCTTTCTTTAAACTAAAATCTGTTTATTTCATTTTTCTGAGTGTTATATTTATATTATTATGAATTATAAATAAATATATATCCAAAATCATAAATATTATTCTTCGAAAGCATCTCATACCATAAATGTGATCATTTGTATTTTAGAAAAATAATTCACTATTAATATATATAAATAATCTTGAGACCTTTTGCTGCCAAATTGTATCACATATAAATATAGCAATTTTTTGGAATTTTAAACGATATGATATATCCATGAGTATTTTTAATTGATTTAATTATTGAACACACTTATTTGTGTCTTTAGTTCTTCGAAGACATTATCATAGTGTATTGATATTATGCAGTATCTTCTTTTTTCTGTTTATTACATTTCTTTGATATTTCTCACTAATAATATGAATATTACCATTAATAATGGCTAAGATATCAATATAAATATATATAAACATTAGAAAAATGTGATGAACAGATTTTAATTGTGATAAGGAGAAAGGGCATGTTATCGATACTTTATGTGTATGTCCTTTGAATCAATAAATATACAAATAAGTGTCTAAAGGTGATATTGTTCTTTTATCGCAGTTACTAAATTATTTTTTTTCTGAATTTATTATACTGCTTATGACAAAATCATAAATGAATCGCAAAGGCAGGGTATTAAATAAAATATTAAAAAATATAGAATAGGTAATTAAAAAAATTGGAACTTTTTAATTGTAGACGTGGGTACACATTTGTGCCGGGTCATCTAGTATATATATATATATATATATATATATATCCATTATATTGTTCAGTTTACTAAAAAATGCGTCATTTTATTTCCAAGTTTTATATGGTTTATAACACAATACAATAATTTTATAAAACTGATAAAAAAAATACAAACACAATTCAAGGAAATCATTTATTTATCTCGCGGCGGCATCATTCAGGTGATATTTATGTTTGAAATAGATTTTATGATTTATTTTTAATATGAAAATGGATTACATTGCTAAATAAATTTTGCACGGTCATGACTTTGTGCGAAACGATGGCACTAATATTTCTATTATCTACATTTTTTTTCATTATCAAATGTTCAATGGCGGGTCAAGGACGATTTTGATAAATTCGTGAGCCGAATTTAGTTTTTGGTCATTAATAACTGTGGTATAAATTATCTATTGATAAACAATGATGAGAGTTTATCAGGCTTATTTTAATTAAATATTGAATATCAAATGATACCCTGTCTGTCT